CTCCTCAATTTTAATGATAATAAAATCACCAAATGGCAACACATATCAGCCAGATTGGAATACAATATTCAAGAAAAAATTTCTCTCTGGTACAATATTCTTTCACAACAACAATTCAATCAAACAGAAACAACTTCTGCCCAATCAAACAACAAAAGAAAATGGATAGCAACATTAATTAATAACAATATAATTATCGGCAAAAAATAAAAAACAAATAAAAACAATCTTATTATAAAATACTGAATATACAATAATCAAGATTCTGACAAATCTCTCACTCTCTCCAAATGTAATGGGTATTCTCTTAACATTTATCCTAACTCCTACAAATGCAAACTACCAATCCCAATCAACTTACTTAATCTCTTCACCAAACTACTTACAAATAATATGCTTAAAACAAAAATATCAAAAACTGATCTTTACAACTTCTTACAAACCAATATTATCATAAACAATTCATAAATAATTATTCTTTCAAATCTACTTGAATTTCTTATATTTCTCCAACATCCCAACCAATTATCAAAAACCTTTTCTGCTTTCAGGATTCTTCACTTAAAGTTCTGCTTTCATTTGAACACAATACCAATATTATTACAGTTATCTGGAACTATATACAACACTTTAAATCATTCACTACACACTTCAATCTTTAACCTTTACTAGCTCTACTCCGTATAATCATAATAATACTACTAACCAATGAAACAAAAGATATTATAATTTTCTCCAAACATCTCAAAATTAACAATAAAACATTCTTATGTCCTCCATCCAACCATAGAAAAAAATACAAACTTCCTTATTTCTCAACTATTACAAATATACATAATATAATGCAAACTTTCCAAATCTCCTTAACATATTACAAACCCATTACTAAAATATCAAACATATAGTCAACCAATATTACACTTCCTCAAATAAACATTATCGATACATTTCCTATCCAATACACATTAATAAGTATACAAAATATTCCCTTGCCTCCAATCAAAAAAAACTTGAAACAAATAAACAAAACCTATTGCCTAACAAAAATAATCTACTTAGAAAGAGCAAAAACAACTTTCAAGTTTGATCTATCACTTTTAACATATACTCTAATATTTCTTAAAAATATATCTATTTCAACTACACAATATCAATTCAAATTATACAATTTTCATTTCAAAATTCTCTCCAATACCCTTCTGACAAAATCATACTTTCATATAATATTTCCAAACATATATATTAATGACCTCTGCCCATGATGCAATACAAATTCAGAAATAGTATATTACCTTTGGATCTGCAAAAAAAGCTCAACTACAATGAAAAAAATAATAAATGACATACAAATACTCCTGGAAAAGAAATTTAAAAACAATAAAAACTTCGATAAAAAACAAATACAAAAAGTCCTTAATATTAATATTCACATTATTAATTTTGCAACAGGTATCACTCAATTGAACACTCTTTTCAAAAACCTTAATCCAACAAAATTCGATCTCAAAAATATCATTGATATTTAAAATGAAACACTTGAACTACTATATACACAAATATGGATTTCCAGAAATCAAAAAATGATTACTGAAGAAAAACTCCTTAACATTTTCCAAAACATCAAATACAAAAAAAATCCCAATAAAATTGACAATAACACATATCACAACTCACAAAAAAACATATAACAATAATAACAACAACAAACAATAAAAAATCTGATAACTAATAACAACATAACTCAAACCAATAATCTGATAGATATTATCTTTTAACTTTATTCTCAAAACCTATCCATGTCTCCTCAGAATAGAATAAATTATCAGGAAGGCATTAGCTTCCTAAACTAAATAGTTACTTTCCTTTTTCTTATCTCAAGGTTTTTTTAGAAATATACTTAGTATAATGATAGGCTGACATTTATAGTGATATATCTCAGTATCTTAATATTAATTATGTAATATTTAATATTTATTTCATTAATAAAAATCATAAGAAATATCTCACATAACATTAAAAAAACTATAAATCAATAATAATATTTAAAAATTTGAATAAAAAGATACTTTGCAATTAAAATATTTTTTAATTTTTTTTTTATTACTCTTATTTGTAATACAGTATCTTTTAATTGAAATATTTTATAATTAAACTTTATTTAATTACAATGAATAACAATAATAAAACTCTACTTATATTAGATAACAAATAATTTATTCCAATTAAAAATTTTTTAAATTGATTAAAAACTTGCAAAAAGATATAAACAAAATAAGTAAGCAATAAAATTACAGAAAACATACATATAGTAGAAATCATATGTCATTGCCCAACCCAAATATCCACAGTTTGATTATATAAATTAATAAAAAAAATTTATTTTAAGTACATTATTTTAACTAATTATTAATATACTATATTTTATAATTTATTTTTGTAATTTGCAATTACTGTATAAAAAATTAATATTTTGTAAATTTTATTATTGTTGTTATTATTTAATAATAGACTAACATGTATAACAATGTATCTCGATATCTCAATATCAATCATTTATTTATTAACTTGGTTTTTGAAAATTATTAAAAAAAAATCAAATAATAATTTTAATTGTAAACGTAAAAGATATTATCAGAGTCACTGATGCTTTTTTACTTATTGGAAATTAAAAAAAATTATTTAAATTACGAAAAATTGACGGCTTTTAAATTTTTTAATGCTTAAAAAAAAATTACAAATTAATATTTAAATCGAAATCAATTGTATATAATAATTCAAACTTTTAAAAAATGCTTTAGCTTTAATGGACTAATAATGTACCAAATAAAATTATCTTCTAAAATATGTCAAAAACAAAATCTTTAAAATTCTAATCTCTCTACAAATAAGCAAAAAAATTCCTAGCGGAAATTAACAAAAATTCTTATTTACTTATCACGAAACTCGAGGAATAGTAAATGCATTATTTTATGCTTATTCCGCTTTAAACCCAAGGGATTGCATAATGGATTGCTTTAAATGATAGGTCCATGAGGCTCCATTAGGAGAAATGTCGGAAGGATTGCCATATACCCATTGAATGATAGCCGATGGTATAAGAGTATAAGATTTGAACTTTCCAGATCTAATTGGAATCCTTATTTGCAAATCATATGGTAACGATCCATTAATAAGCTCTCTGAACAACTTTTTAGCGCCGGTGAGCGAAACTGCGTAACCATGCGTACAAGCTGGTGATGAGGATTTATACACTTTAAAATCCAAAGCCTCGCCTATAAAGTCTCCCCTATCTTCTCCCCGATTGCAATGCCCAAAGTATATTATTTCCCAATCGGAGGGTAAAAGGCGAAAAACATTTTTTACGAGTGATAAGAAGTTAACCTCCATGTCAACATCATCCTCTAAAATCAAAGAGCTTTTGTATCCTTTACTGACAATTGAATCGAGGATTCTATAATGACTAACGTAACAGGCCTTATGGTTGGGATTTTTATGGTGGAAATGATGATATTTGTTGAGAGTTTCACTATCATTCAAGTTAACGGCCGGAAAAAATTCGAAATCTACATCAAGTTCCTTCTCTATGGCCATCATCTTGAAAAGCCTGTCTTTCCGATGTTCAAGGTGAACAACATAAATGTGTTCGAAGCCAAGGGTTCTGTCATAGTTTTTTATTGTAGTTGTGCCTGAAAACGTGTAAGAAGTTGTGTTCGAAGCTGTGTTCGCGACCGTTTTCGAAAAGCTAGATTTATATTCGTTCGAATGTAGTCCAAGCTCAGTAAAAACCATGATAGAGAGCGGCATTAGTAATATCAATAAGAAAACAAGAAATTTGGGATTTATTAGTTTCTTGATGTATATCATTGTAGTTATCAGAAAGTCGGAAAACTGTATATCGAGAAAAGTTAGAATGTATATCAACTTTATTTCATTACTAAATTTGGTGCGTGTATAATAAAGATTTTTCCAATTTTAGGGTGTCTTATGTTGCATTTTTTTTCCGGATCGCGAGAACACTAACCAATAGGTTTCACGTAACTTATTACGATTTGTGATTTATTGATCACAATGTAAATACAACTGCACAGAGAACACCAAAAGTGTTGAATTCATGTTCCATAAAGATTATACAGGGGATAGACAAAAAGAATGTGCCATTTTATTTTTACACATTAAAAACTTTCAGGTATATAAATGTTTAATAAAATTTTACAGTATTTATAAATCAGTATACATATAAGAAAAAATTACTAATATGGAATCGGCCATCCATTTGCCTCAATTATTGCATTCACCCTACAAGGCATACTCTCGACTAAATTATGAAATAAATTTTGGGGAAGTGCATTCCATTCTTCCTGGATCATCTCTTTTAACTTTGAAAGATTTTTAGGAAGCAAAACCCATTTGTACAAGTTTGCCTCCATAACCGATCAAATGTTTTCGATTGGGTTTAGATCAGGACTATTGGCTGGCCATGGGAGAGTCCTGATCTTGGCATTAGTGAGAACATTTAGTGTCACTTTTGCAGTGTGAACTGGGGCATTGTCTTGTTAAAGAATTCCATTTTTGCACTAAAAAATTGAAGTGAGTGCTGGAATTGCATGCTCTCTCAATAACTGTGTATGCACTCTACCTATAATAGAGCCAGAATACAAGACAAGTGGTCCATATTCCTTCCAAGCAAACTCAGTCCACACTATATATCCCTCACTTCGAACAACCTTCGGAGCAAGACAGTTTGATTGCAATTCTTCTCCGGTTTTATGCCATACACATATATAGACCTTTCTTCGGAACTGGAAAAAGAGCTTTTTGTCTGTGAAAAAAATTTTTTTCCAATCTTTTAGTTTTCAATCTTTCTGCTCCTGGCATCACTTAATCCATTTGAGCCTATTTGCTTCACTAATGAATGGCTTGCGACATGCGATTCGCAACTGAAACCTGATCTTATGGAGAGTATATCTTATGGTTCTGATGCATACCGACTTACCTTGTTTTTTTTCAAAGGCTATACAGAATGCATCTGCTATAAACTGTCTCTTTCCATTGGTTACAAGTTTCTTAAAGTATTCACAACCTGCAGTGTTGATCAAGGGAGGACGGTCGATATTTTTTTTAGGAAGTGTTTTTTCAGAAGTTAAGTGTTGAGCAAGAATACGATCAATAGTTTTATGATGACAACCAATGGTCTGGGCTATTGCTCGGTTTGAGTGACCAAGCTTGTGTGCAAAAATAATGCCTCCATACTGTTTCTCAGTAAGCATTTGAAAAAAAATAGGAAAAATCAATTAATTTTTTTATTTAATATAAAAAAGTATTAAATAATAAATAAACAATATATAAAATTTTATACCACGTGATGTCATAACAATTACTCATTACATATAAAATTTTGCGAAAATCAAGACAGAATTGACATCATCAAATATTGGGAAAAAGTGGCACATTCTTTTTGTCTACCCCCTATATATATTATAGTGAAAGTTAATTTAATAATATTTTTATATTTGTTAATAAAAATTTTCATATTGATTTTTTTTAATAAATTATTTTTATTCTTTGAATATTAAAAGTACTATTGTTATTTATTAGAAATTAATTGTTTTTTGCTCTCTTGAATTTAGTTTGCTAAACAATATAGAATTAATTAAATCTATTTTATCTGATAAAAGATATAGTAAATTGAGAAAACCATATTATGAAATGTGGTTTGTCAAGAGAAGTGAATTATTCATTATTAATTTGTTGAGTTTATAGAAATATTCGTATATACAGGAATTTAATATTTTATAAAATTTATTATTGTAGATAGATCTTTGTTTTCAATAGCAGAATTAAGTTAAATTTTTATTTATTAACTTCTTTTTTGAATATCAATTACTTTTTTAATAATAATTTTCAAAACCAACGTTTCAATATTTCAAGAGCGACCGTAACTGTATTTTTTACAAAATATATTATTTCAATGCTGGTAAATAACTTATTGCATTGAACAAAAAAAGTATATACACAGTGAACCCCGTTAAACCGAGGTGGCCGGGACTATTAGTAAAATTTTTTGGGAAATTCGGTTTAGAGGGGTTTACCTAGTAAATTCGGTTTAACGAGGTAATTTACAATATGACGGTTTTTGAGCAAACTTCGGAATAACAGGAATTTAATTAGTACTTCGGTTTAACGGGGTTCGGTTTAACGGGGTTGACTGTGTATATATATTAAATAGAATATCCTATTAATAACAATAAAAACCAAATAATAATTATAATTGTAAACATAAAAGATATTATCAGAGTCAACGGATGTTTTTTAACTTATTGGAAATTAAAAAAATTTATTTAAATTACAGCTTTTAACTTTAAAATTCTTAATATCTCTAAAAATAAGCAAAAAAATTCCCAGCAAAATTAACAAAAATTTTTATGCTTATTCCGCTTTAAACCCAAGGGATTGCATAATGGATTGCTTTAAAGGATAGGTCCACGAGTCTCCACCAGGAGAAATGTCGGAAGGATTACCATATATCCATTGAATGATAGCCGATGGTATAAGAGTATAAGATTTGATATTTCCAGATCTAATCGGTCCCCTTATTTGCAAATCATACGGTAACGATCCATCAATGAGCTCTCTTAATAACTTTTTGGCGCCGGAGAGCGAAACTGCGTAACCATGCGTACAAGCTGGTGAAGAAGATTTATACACTTTGAAATCCAAAGCCTCGCCCATAAAGTCTCCCCTATCTTCTCCCGAATTGCAATGCCCCAAGTATATCATTTCCCAATCGGTGGGTAACAGACGAAAAACATCTTTTATGAGCTCAAAGAGGAAAACCTCCAAGTCAACATCATCCTCTAAAATCAAAGAGCTTTTGTATCCGTTTCTGACAATTGAATCGAGGATTCTATAATGACTAACGTAACAAGCCTTATGGTTGGGATTATCATGGTGGAAACCATATTTGTTGAGAGTTTCACTATCATTCAAGTTAACGGCCATAAAATATTCGAAATCTACATCAAGTTCCTTCTCTATGGCCATCATCTTGAAAAGTCTGTCTCTCCGATGTTCAAGGTGAACAACATAAATGTGTTCAAAGCCAAGGGTTCTGTCATAGTTTTTTATTGGAGTTGTGCCTGTAAACGTGTAAGAAGTTGTGTTCAAAGTTATGTTCGAAGCCGTGTTCACAACCGTTTTTGAAGAACTAGATTTATATTTTTTCGAATGTGGTCCAGGCTCAGTAAAAATCTTGATAGAAAGCGGCATTAGTAATATCAATAAGAAAACATAAATTTTGGGATTTATTAGTTTCTTGATGTATATCATTGTAGTTATCAGAAAGTCGGAAAGATTATGACCGAGAAAAGTTAGAATGTGTATATAAACTTTGTATTATATCAATTTTATTTCATTGCTAAATTTGGTGTGTGTATAATGAAGATTTTTCAATTTTAGGGTGTTCCTATGTTGCATTTTTTTTTTTTTTTCACCGGATCGCGAGAACACCAAATCCAATAGGTTCCACGTAACTTATTACGATTTGTGATTTATGGATCACAATGTAAATAAAACTGCACGGGGAACACCAAAACTGTTGAATTCATGTTCCTTGCTTGTTCTTCATTTAGGAAACAAGAAATGATATTGTCACTTATGCAAAATAATGTAGAGTATACAGCTTATTCAGCAGTGTTGGCGTTATTGTCATGCGTAACGTCAAGATAAGTTGGACTTCTTTCTCTAACAGGTATGTTTAATTTGGTAGGGTTCTTTTAATAATAAATGTCCTTTATTTTCCCTTTCGCTCGATGCTCCTCTCGATAATTTTTGTCACATGTCCAGCTGGCGACAGAATCAAAAAAATTCCCTGATTTAGAATTAACCAACAATAAGAGAAAAAATCACGTTATACTGTCCGAAAATTCCCATATTAGAAAAACGAGAAATACATTTTTTAAGTAGAACAAAGTATGATGTTATGTTATCCGCCATATACAGTCAAACCTGGTTATAACAATGTTTTCTATATAAACATAGTAATTTGATATGTGAACTTTTTTTTAAGAAAAACATTGAGTTTGCTATAAAGACTGTATTTTTTCATACGACTATTACTGAAAAAGCAGTCATTTTCTTCATCGTACATCTGCTATTTGCACTGTTCAATCTCATCATATTTGGATGATTCTTTTTGAAAACGACAAAAATGTTTTATTTGAACAATACATATACAATATAAATTCTAGGAGTACAATTATAAAGTCTGAAAAATCCCCGTCCGCCTTCAAAAAGAATTACCCATTTCTTTCTAGAGTTGTGATATTATATGATTGTACTATTATAAACTTTTTCACTCCCAAATAACCCATTATTTTCACTCTGGTATAAATACATGCTAGAAGATACTGTAAATAAATAAATCATGTGAATGTGTTTGTACTACTCGAGATTAGATGGAGACTTAATATCCAGAAAAGAGTATCGCCCACCTTGACCACCATAATAGTAAGGAGAATTGATAAGTAATAGAAAGATGGATTAAATTTTAACGAAAATCATTTTATAATTAAATTTTCGTGAAAATGTAGTTATGATATTCCAGAAAATATAGTCAATGATGAATATGCAGCTCTATTAAATAATATTTTATTGCTTTTGATAGATATGCTTTCTGGTTGATTTTTTCATAATAAGATCACAATATCAATTTTTGGTTTAAACTAGCATATCAGAATTTATTAAATGTAAATATATCAAAGCTATGATTACTACTGAACTCGATCATTGAATATTGTTAACCTTTCTTGGTAAAAAATTGATTCTTGATACTTTTGTTTTAGAACAACAAAAGATGTTTTGTTATTTTATTAATAATGATTGTTAATTCGTCTATTTGTAAAAGTTATCTGCCATTAAGTATATAGTTGTTAATATATAAAGATAACTATGTCAATGTAAATAAAAGAGGAACAAAGAAATAGAAATCATTAATATATTAAAGAAGTAATTGAAGTTAAACTGATTTGTCGTTTTTAAATTATTTTTTTAAAAAAAAGTTAACTCAAGTTTATGTAATTCTGAGTCAAAAATAAAATTAAAAAAAAAAAAAAGCTTTTATAGTAAATAGTTTGCTTAAGATTTGATATACAGTGGCATCTGTCTTTTTGCATAAAGTTGGGACCATGGTGAAATTTTTATAAAAAATATGCATTTAGACAGGTTATGCATATATATGTCAGATTTTTATAAGAGTTTTATAAGTTGGGACTGAGCAAGAAATATGTATTTGTATGTTTTTTATATAGAATATGTAAATAAACAATATGCAAATAGACAGGTGCCACTATAGTTCTTAAGATAAAGATCATTAATAAATAAAAAGATAAATTAGAGTTTTTTTAAACAAAAGTTTATTGGTTATATGGAAATCTGAAAGAAGTAATAAAATAATATATTCTCTTTGGATTTTTTATACATTTGTTTTTTTTTTTAATAATTTTTTATTAAGTTAATCTTTAATATATTTAGTTTGGTTTCAATAGTTATAAAATCAATTGACAGTTTTGATTTGTAAAATCAAATAAAATTATTTTTAATTTATTTCAAATTAAACAAAGATTTTACAATATTTAAAATCTTTAATAAATTTGTTAATATCTTTTTGAATTATAACAAATAAAATAATTATATATTCTTAAAAAAGATTTTTTTTTGTTATATTAGTTGTATAAGTAAAAAAATAGATATAATAAGTAACTTATATAAATAATCAATAATAATAAATTATATTACTTTTACAAAATTAAATTAATAAATTAGATAATTTAAACTAATAATAAAACTTTCATCTTCTAAATAAGTTTTTTTAAATATGTATAACTTATTTATAGAGTTATATTTCTTAAATAATTTAAATACTTTATTAAAATTATTATTATCTTACTTAATTAATTGATTATTAAAATTATAACTAATTATAAATATGTAAATATTAAAATTAACCAAAATTATCTTTTTTAAATATCATCTTGATTATTTATAATTAATATATTGCTTAATAAAACAATAAATAGGTTAGTATTTAGCTCTAGTTATAATATTATAAAAAATATTTGATATATTAATTATAATATTTTTAATATTTAACAAAATTTATATTTAATATTATTTTATTATAAAAAATATATATAATTTTAATATAAAATATTTATAATATTAGCAATATTCATAACATCATCCAAATATTACAAATATCCTATTCTTTTTATAAATCTACTTTAACAATGGAAAAACTTTAACCTTATAATATGATTATTCCTTAACTCAATATAACTAACCCATTTTCTTTATTATATACCTTATTCAATACACAAAATAATTCACTTCCCCTGATACGAGATCTTATTAAAAAAATAAATAAAACAATCAGATTAACCAATATAATCTATTCTGAAAAAACAAAACCTATTTTTAAACCTGACTTCTCTCTTATACAATATACACTTTCTTTTTTTAAAAAAAATTCTTTACTAATCACCCAATTTCAATTCAGTTTATATAACTTTTGCCTCAAAATTCTTTTTAACATATTACCAATTAAAATTTTATTTATACTTTACCTTATCTCATCTATATACTAACAATTTCTGTCTTTTATTGTAATACTGCTTCAGAAACCATATATTATATCAGATTCTGTAAAAAGAGCAATCTGGCTATATCCCAAATAATTAAAAATACCATAGCACAAGCTATCTTTTCCTTCAAAAATAACAAAAACTTCAATTCAA